CCCCACGGACCTTTATTTCTGACACAAAACCCGATAAACTCTGGACTATAGACTGTAAAAAAAAGCGCTGGACATATTTAAGACCGTAAATCAATATGGTGGCTAGTTATGATGTCCCTTCGTTAGCTATGTTTTGTGAAAGACTAAGCACCATTCATGTTGTCTCATTCTCTCTCTGTGACACACACACACAGAGACACACTCCCCATACAGTTATGCATAAAAATACCACAGAAAGAAAGTCAGTCAATATCACATGAATAGTGCCAGTTTTCACCTCTAAAAATCAGCATGATTACAAACGTGATACTGATTGCGATACAATTTTGCATAGGGCCCCCAGAAGTCTAGGATCGGCACTGATTATTACTGACACACAACCCAATAAACGCTGGACCATAGACTGTAAAAAAAAGCGCTGGACATATTTAAGACCGTAAATCAATATGGTGGCTAGTTATGATGTCCCTTCGTTAGCTATGTTTTGTGAAAGACTAAGAACCATTCATGTTGTATCATTCTCTCACACACACACACAGAGACACACTCCCCATACAGTTATGCATAAAAATACCACAGAAAGAAATTGTCAATATAACACAAAGAGTGCCCGCTTTCACCTCTAAAAATCAGCATGATTACAAATGTGATACTGAATTTATGCAACAGTTCGATAAACAAGAAATTAATATTAAGAGACTTGCGTTTTAGACACCATATTGCCTGTTTTTGCTCTATTTGGCCAACAAAAAAATTATTCCAAACAAAGCCACAGCACTGTTTTGCGTCTCTGAGCAGCATAACAGTGTTTCGTTCCTGAATGACATTTTTCTAAAAAGGAAACAAACCTATCTTATTATCTCTTGTATATTTAGTATTGCTCTTCAATAAAGAAAAATGACTTCTTATCCGATTACTCGATTAATCGATGGAATAATCGGTACAATACTCGATTACTAAAATAATCAATAGCTGCAGCCCTAGAGGAGATTAAGGAGCAATTGGCTCCTCAAATTACAGAATAATCATAAAGGTTCTCGCTGTTCAGTAAGGGAGTCGATTGTAAACTCAATTACAGCCCTGAATGCTTAACGGACCATGATTCAAATAGCTAAAGACCCATTCACACAGAGAAAGATAACTATAACAATAACTATATAGTAAAGGTGGGCGATATACCGATAGACATGATTAACCATTAGAAATTTGTCAACTGGTATAGATTTTGAACTTTCGTCTCTATTGCGGTTACATGCTCACGTGATGCTGCTGTGCTACGTGGTCATGAAAACTTACCATCTGAATGCATTTTTAAGCATTGATTGATTCACATTGTTTAAAAACAAGTGATTTTAAGCAGTTGAAAAGCAATAAGCTGCATAAGAGAACTCATTTTGACTCAATTTCAACTCTTTCAACGCTGTCTGAGAGATGCGCACACATGAAGACGGTGCTCATAGAGTGTGGGAGTATTTAATTTTTGCCGCTTTAAAGGCCTGGAACAGTTAAATACACACACTTGTATGTGTCAAAATGGCAATCTTCGCAAGTATCCTTGTAAACACAGTAATTTAGGTCTTAAGTGAAAGCAAACAGCTGGAAAAGAAAACGTGTAACAGTATATTAGATCTGGGCAGCTCTTAAAGTAATAGCAGTCTAATATTCCTGCTAGCTCTTAAAGTAATAGCAGTCTAATATTCCTGCTGTCTGTCATTCTAGTTACAAAAGAGAGAAAATGTCTCACTGCTCTTGACTAAATCACTTTTGCAACTTTAATAAAAATAAATACACATTTAATTTACACAGTGAAGAATATGCAGTGTTTTTATTCAATTACTTTATACAAGATATGTAGCATTTCTTATTTATTTGTTCTACTGAAGTTTTGCATTCTATTGATTGTAATTAGTTTCTTATTCTTAATCGCTAACTGCTTACTTGTCTTCAGTGAGCTTGAGTTGTTTTTTGTTTTTTTTTAATTTAGGCAAGCATTAGTTTTTGTGATATTGCCACTGACAAGAATTATGAAATTTCTATGGAATCAAATTTTGGTATCAAAGGCCTTATTGAAAGCAAAAATAAATAGTTAATTAGTTAATTAATAGTATATAAATTAATAATAAATAGTTAGTAGTAATATATAATATGTAATAACTAGATATAGTTACCATCTTTAGAGTGAACAAGCCTTTCGTCACAAGCGACTTTTGAAAAAACTGTGAATCTTGTGACTGACTCATTAAAAAAAAACAGTTTATAAGAGTCACTTCCTGATGAATCAAGCACAGACATGGAAAAATGCCTTAAATAATTTAATTTCACTATGAGGGGTCGGACATTTCAGAAAGGATATGAAAGACAGAGCCTTGTTCCTGAAGTCCACCACAGTGTATCCACTAACCAATGGATCCACAAAGCTGATCATGTGATGGCGACACTGGGCTTGCTCCTCCTCTGTAACCTTATTGGTGATGATGTCCAGCCCTTTATAAACCTGCAGTGAGAAACCAACGAGATCATATAAACAATGAAGCAGCAAGAAGAAATTTATGTACAGTAAAGTATGGAGGAATGTAGTAAAGGTTGCATGCTTCATACACCACATTACTGTTTTCGCTTGGTTCATCATGACATGATAACTACATGAAACTTTAAAGAGAATCCTTTCAAAAACTGTCCAGTGAGACAGGCAAAACAGGTCACAATCACTTTTTCGCTCTGTCCTACATAACTATTGTCATGATTCTTCATGAGGATTGCAGTGTTTGTGTGACTATTGTGTAGCAGCAGAAAGACATTTGTGAGCACCTCAACAGAAAGATCTATTATCTTTGATGAACCTCAATGAAAACATTGGATTCCAGTATATGAATGAACAAGAACCAGCTCTGAATTTTCAACCCTTGTTAAGTGGCATCAGTCTATAAGCAGACACCACAAAGTGTTGTGGTCATTCAAGGAACTTGTCAGGGGTGTCAGCAGGGTTTCAAAATCAAGGGCATGCGTGCACCGCCGTGGCTAAATTCAGAACAGCGTACCGTAACTCCTCTGCCCTTGCGTGCCGATTTCGGCAAGTTAGGAAGAAATGCTACTGAATTATTGAGATCTTTTCCCTTGTGCTCTCCACAGGACATCCCTGCCAGCGAAATCATGGTGAGGTGAATGGGGAGAACAGCATATGAGGAGACAGGAATTCAGCCCATTCTCTCCAGAGCAGAATGGTAAACACTAATAAAGGGGTGCGATTAAAACATGCAGAAGGTCTTAATCGCCTCAGAACTTGGCATGGTACTGCCGTTCTGTTTTTTACTGCCCAAGTAGAACGCCTGCTTTTTAGAGCCAGCCCTCTTGAACGCAATATTTCGAATTTACAGGCTTCTAACTCTGTGAAAACTTGGAATCAATAACAGCTGTTTTTCGATCTTGAAATAAAACTAAAACACAGAGTTGGGTCACTAAGCTTGTTAAGATAGACTAATAAAGCAGGGAGTTTACCAACAACCACATAAACTTTCATAAATGCGGAGCCTGAGTACAAAACACAACATTTTTGGTCACTGTAGCTCTGTTGCCAAAAACAATGTGGTGAAACTAAAGTTCATCAGGTCAGGACAAGTTGCTGAATACGTTTATATGTAAACGTGGGTGTTCATTTGTTAATTTGCCTTGCTATTTTCCATAAACCGCCTGAATGGACAATCATTCGCATCAAATCCTCAAGAGTTACCTATGAAAAGAGCATTTTAAGACCACTAGAAAACTGAATGTTGAGACTGCAGATACTCAGCTAATAATGTAGCATTATGAGGGATCGATACAGCAAATCACATGGCCTGAGAGACCAGCATGCTGGGAGCTCCACAGCTCTGTAGCGAGGGCATTTCAGGTCAGGTGTCAGACAAACAAATGAGGGTGGTGACGAGTTCTACAGATGGTGGAAACAGCACCTGATATGGTGGGTGGATCTTTAAAATGTTAATTAAAAAAAGACAGAAAAGAACGATAATTGTGCTACTGACACAGAAGAAAATAAATTGTTGAATAAAGTCATTATTTTTGTTTTCTTTGTGCACAAAAAGTATTCTCGTAGCTTCATAAAATTAATGTTGAACTGATGTCGCATTAACTATTTTAACGATGTCCCTACTACATTTCATGGCCTTGAACATGTCAGTTGCGTTGCTGTCTATGGAGGGTCAGAAAGCTCTCAGATTTAATCAAAAATATCTTAATTTGTGTTCCGAAGATGAACGAAGATCTTACAGGTCTGGAAACGACATGAGGGTGAGTAATTAATGAGAGAATTTTCATTTTTGGGTGAATTATCCCTCTTATGTAAAGCATCAACAGAGATGAGAGATAGATGAAAATCTACCCCAAAGTGACATTCATTCATGATTGAAACTGCAGTTAACACGAGAGTGAAACCAATCGGTTTGATTCAGTTTTGTCTATTGCCTCATTTAAGTGGCTCTGACTGTATATGATCACAACTTTTTTCACAACTTGAATTGTACTCCAATTTCCCACATTATTTTCTACAGTAGGAAATATAATTGCATACAAAAATAATACTGACAGGAACTAAAGTATAGTTGCAATAAAGAGGTGTGTGGGTGGGGATTAAAGAATCGCAATATACATTCAGGATGCAACACGTTCCATCAAGGTTAGATCTGAGAGAAAAACCATTGAGTTTGACCACTGAAATTCCACATAACTAAAAACCAAGAAATCTTGCAGCTACCACAGAAAAAAAAAAATTGCATGTGTTCTTCCGTTCTTCCAAGAGGTTGTATAGGGCCCCTAGCATGTATGAGCTACCCTCCAGGAAAAGACTAAAATGACATAAAAGAGACCAGAAATAGGAGGTGGGGGGTGCATGTGTGTGGCAAATATGACAGAAGACCCTGTGAATGCAGAGCCTGGTCATGTGGCTCTCATTTGGGGCCACGTTTCTTAAGTGCTGCAGGCATTAGCGGGTTTTGTTCCCTGCATCTGTTTGTTACCCTCTTTCATTAGGCTCCGTACCAGCCTCTCACTGATACAGAGCCCACCCTGCGCTCCAGGCTTCAAATGACCAGTGCGCCCCTTCCCCATGAGTTTATTTAATTTTTATTTGCTCTAGTAGTTTAATAGAAGGCATATTTAATCTGGCACAAATGCAGACGTGCCTGTGAGGGACGGAAGTTCGATGTGTCATGCTGGTGTATAACATGTTGTCAATCATTTTACAGATGAAACTGGAATATTTTGTCCATTGAAAATGTGTGGATAGTCATTTTAAATGTCAAAGTACAGCATATAAAAGACTGTTTCATGGGGAAACATCTGTAACTGGCTATCGTTTAATGAATTGTCACAAGCTTGCTTGTTAGGAAATTGATGGCAAGTTTCTTGCAAAAACAAATTTCGATCTGAACCAGAATTTCACCTATTAAATTTTTTCCAAAAAAATGTCCAATGTTTCATGCAACATTTTTGTTTGTACAAGTACAGTTCATTCAATGTGTTGTTTAATTGTGTACCTTGGACATGTTTAATTTGACTGATTAAGCCATTGAAGATTATTTTTTTACTATTAGCCTTTGTTGCGTTTGCCTCGTTTTGTCTGGTTGACGTCGCAGTGCTGAAGTCCTGCTGTTTGGTCTTATGCCCTTCCATGACTTGAATGGCAGGCATCTAATCCCATGCAGCTGCCTATGTGTGTGTGTGTGTGTGCGTGTGTGTGTGTGTGTGGACATGTTCTAGAGAGCCAGAGTGTCTAATTGAAACTCATTATTAATGAGGACAACTAGTCCACAGAGGGGGAGATTGAAAGAGAGGAGTGGAAACAGGAACAGAACAAATGTGGACTCCTTATTTCACATCCACAATTTCACATTTTCCAATTGTAAAAAAGACAATAACAGCATTTATGAGGTAGTAACAGTTGCGGCAGGGTGAGAGAATCCAAGCGCTCAGCATACACAAGAACCGAGCAAGAGACGGCCGACATGGTGATCACAAGTCTGTGTGTCGACCACAGCCCAACGGGGTGGGGACTATTTTTCTTTGTGTGAGACTGTGTGAATGAGGGTGTGTATATATGAGACCCAAAGAAAGAGAAAGACAAAGCAAAGGGAAAAGGGGGTGAATGAGCAAAAAGGGTGTAGTGAATCCAGTGACCCAAACCACAAACACTCAGACGAGTCCCCAGACAATGGCTTTAGTGTTGTTGAGCTATTAGAGCCGGCCACGGCTGATCCACACAGCACCTCAGGCCACGCACGAGACAGCTGCTCCCCACTATTCATACAGGAGGAGGGCCATCGAGTGGGAGGAACGGAGAGAAGTGACAGTGCAGCCAACAGCAAGTTGGCAATTGACTAAATATCAAACAACATTTTTGATGATGATAAAAGCTGGAATCCAGAATCACATACTGTCTAAGTACCTCATTTGATGAACCTACTTTGTGAACACTAAAAAATCAAAAGTAAGACAGATCACAATATGAGTATTTACGCACAAAAGACTGCCATTTAAATAAGTAGTCTACTTGTTCTGTATGTCTCTGTGTTTTCAGCGTCTCCTGTCTCACTACATGTGGACATGAACTTCATCTCCAGAGTTGCTCTGAGTGTCACTTCACCATTTCATCTGATACAAGACTGACATCATTTACTCAGAAAAACAAATTTTGTAAATTATTATACTGCAAAAGCTTTATGCATTCAACTGATAAGACATGCTTTTCCATTATTAAAACTGAATTGAACCATTAAAATCTAGATAAGTTCAAACAGAATTTGGGGGAAATAAAATGGAATTTGAGAAAAAATAAAACATTTCATAGGACCTTGACAGTGTAATAAATTGTTGTTAAATTTGATACGTTCTGAAGTAGTATGGCATCGGAGTACTTCATTCATTTTCTGAATAGTATGAATTTGAACATTTGGACTATTTTCACAATGTTTTTCTGCCAACTATACAGATGATATTCAGATGAAACAAAAGTCATCCATGTTGAACTGAATTTGTCTAAAAGACCTAGAGGTAGTGATTTGTAATGCCTAATGAAATAATAAAATAAATAAATAAAATTGAACATTTGCGGAGACTATAAGCTAGCAGTCTAATCGGCAAACAGTGTGCTGAGCTACTACGCAAAGCAGTTAAATACAAACTACATAAATAAACAAAGAATGAGAAATCTACTTTGGTTATATAGTATCATATTGTAACATCTCATACACAAGACTAGTAAACAAAGTCTGGGATGCACCATGTTTCACCTGGTTTATCTTCTAGGTGAAAACTGTTAGCTCAAGCATTTAGGAAAGTAATAGCACACCTCTCCTCAACAAGAGGCTTTTCATTTGTACAAATCTATGACACATTGCAATGAGAATAAATGAGAAGCATGCTTCTGTATTAGAGGTGGAAACTGCAAACTGAGTTTCTCCAACACTGTACCTCCCACTACACATCTTTAACGCCCCAATCGTG